ATTATTTATAATTATTAGAATTAGAATATTATAAAAATTAGAGTAAAGGCTATAATAGTTATAATAATTATTATATAGAAATTATAAGATTCTTTATAATGACTATAATAGAGGAAAGTTATATAAGAATATTTATTTACTTTATATTTAGTTTTTTTTTATTATCTTAAATTAACTATAATAATTTGAGTATATAATCTTCTATTAATTAAGATATTTAGAAGCCTTATCTTTATTTCTTTTGTTTTATTAGATCTTTTAACCTTAGAAGCCTATTAACTTCGCCCGTTAATAGCTATCCTAGCTATACTCGACGGTAATCCAACCGAAGTTTCCGACACTATTACCCTTAAACTAATAACTAAACAGAACGATAGAATTAGATATTAGAACATTATCTTTAGTTATATATTAATTTATTATAAGATAACTAGGCATAATAATTAGCGCTAGCTTAACACATATATAATAATAGTATATATAATATCACCAAGATATTATCTACTAAAGCACTAATGGGCTTTTAGAGGGATATTCATATTAATATTAATCAGGACCCCCCAGATACAGGTTCTGATAAGAAAATCTTAGGGATAAAGAAGAATCAAATACTGGTAACTAAATAAACAATCTAACTATAGATTAAATACAAAGAACTTTAAAAACTACTAGAGAAAGCATTAAAGAATTAATTTAAATATTTTAATAAAAAATATATAGTAATTTTCAAATTAATAATAAAGTAATATTATAAATCATAAACATCTATCCTCTAAGTAGAAAGAAATTAAAATTTAATTCTAAATTTATTAAACCCTTCTAAATACTAGCTATATAAAGAATAAATATATATAAGCTAAAAATATCTTTATAATACTAATAGTTATATTTAATATTCTATATCTTCTTACTAGAACTATTTAAGGATATAGCTAGAAACAAAATCCCACCTAATAATCTTATTATAAATAATATTAGAGAATATAAGATTAAAGAAATTCATATAGAAAAAAGCTTTAAAAAAATAAAATATATCTTATTAAGTAAATAGACTATCTTAAAAAAGACTATATATAGAAATTTAAAAAGAATATTAATAATTATACTATATTTGAAACTTATCTTTAAAATTATAAAACTATTTATAATTTAAAATAAGAAAGAAAAAAATAAAGAAAAATTTAATTTATAATAGCTAAAAATAAATATAAAATCTATTTTATACTATAAACTATTAATAAGAGTTATTAATTATAAAATTTAAAAAGAACTTATACTATATAGTTAATAAAGACTTAGCTAATTAATTATAAAAGCTAAAAAAATAGATTATAAAATTAAAAGCCTAAAAATCTAAATATAGATATCTATCTATAAATAAGCTTAATAAAAAAAAGTAAAAAAGACCTTTTTTTTTTATTAAAATTAATAGAGTTATTAGCTAAATATATTAATTAAGAATAAAAATAGCAAAAATAAAGCTTCTTTAATAAGATAATATAAATTACTATAATTAAATATTTTTTAAATAGATTAGATTAAGTTAAAGCTATATTTTTATCATTAGTTTTAGTAGTAGAGTCTATCTTAATAATATATTTTCTAGATATATAATTTAAAGCCTTAAATACTTTATCTAATATATAATATTAATTATTAAAGTCTCTTATTATTAAATCTTAATAAAATTTATTAGCTAAAGCTTTTAGATAGTTTAATAAGAATTTAGAATATTATAAATCATTAATATTAGTTATAAAATAAGAAATATTTAATAATATAAACACCCAAACTAGAATATAAATATATATTTATAGAAATATATTTATACTTAAATATTCAATAATACATACATAATTAAATTATAGTATTATAATAAATATGCTGCTACTTAATATAGTTATAAAAATTTAAAATAATCTATAATTAAAAATAAGCTAAGTATAAAAACTTATATAAAGACTTAATCATATATTTCTATATCCTATTAATATTAAACCCTATATATAGAATATTATCACTCATCTTATCCTTTAAAAACATAAAAAATTAAAAGTTATCAAATACAATATTAAGAATAAAGATTATACTAAAAAGCTCAACTAAAAGACTCTTAGAAGTATATAAAAGTTCAAGCTATCTATTTATTTATATTATTAATAACTATATCAATATTTATCTAACTTTATAATTTATCTTATATAGCTAACTTATTTATATAAATAACATTTTTATAAGATACTCTAAATATAAAAATAAATCTAGATTAATAATAGCAAACTATTACTATATTAATATTTTTTTAAGTATTAAGATACTACTTTTAAAAAGAAAAATAACTAAAATAGATTTAAATTATTAAAATTAAATACTCTAAGTTAACTACTATACTTAATTATAAAATAATTAAAATCATCTCACTATCACCTTAAGCATCAAATTAATATAAAAAAAATAAGAAATTAATAATATAAAATATACTAAATCTATATTTAATGAAATTTTAATAAAAAAGCATAGTATTAAGATAACACTTATTATTAAGAAAAAAGATAAGACTAAGAAAAAGAAGAAAAAGAAAGAGGAAGTTAGAATAAGAGAGATAAGGATTTATATATGCTTATTATTAGCACTAATCTTAATCTTAATTATTTCTTACATATTTAACCCTCTATCTAATATTTATTATCTATTTTTAATTTCTCTATTAAAAATAAGGATTTTATTATAAAA